CACAGAACGCTCAGATGTGAAGAAGCCCTCTCAGTGAGCCTCAGCAGTGGATACTAAGGTGTCGTTCAGGCTGTAGTCACCTATGTTGTAATTTGCCAGTTTCCTGCCCCATCTCTCTGTGTAAAGATTATGTATGTGTACACTAAATCATGCAATAAAGCAAATTTTGTGTCCAGAACCTAGGACCCATTTTGCAGTGTCTGTTCTTTCAGCTCACTTGAGCGAAGGCTCCTTTCTCTTCCTAGCCTCTCCTTTAAACAGCTGGTGCACCCCTCACTTTAAAACTAGCCAGGTGTAGGCAGACAGAAGCTGGAGCAGCAGCACTGAAGCAGAGCGGGAGGACATGGTGATGAACAAGATGGCAATACCACTCGTCAGATGCTGGTCACAGAGCCACGGGTGTGATGAGCGTGGGTCAGTGGTACTAATGGTGAGGCCAGGCAGGCAAAGGGGATGTGCAGTGTGGTGGTAAGGAGGGGCTGACCCAGAAATGCCGCACTCCGACTTACATGGAAACACAGGATCAAATCTGGCAGCCGAAGTCACCCAAAACACAAGCTCACAACATTGAGGGGTTGCTTGAAGATTCTGTTAAGTAATAGCAACAACCTTGGGGTAGAGAGAGCCCTATTGAGCCCAGGGCCTGGGTGTGCTTGGCTGATAGGTTTTTTTCTTTTCTTTTCTTCCCTTTCCTTGCCTTTGATGCCCCTCTGCAGCAGTTGCCCTGTGTCCCATGCTGCTCCCGTGACCGTCCCCCAACACTGTCTGTGCTCCAGCATCGGAGCCGACCACAGCATGAAATGGAGATCTGTCCCAGGACTATGCCAACCCCACATGGGGGTGGCAGACAGAGACCTTCCCCCTGCCCACACCCCATCAGTGACAGTGTCTTCACCATCCTGCCAACACAGAGATGTCCCTGTTTCAGGATGTCTCTAGTCCCAGTAATTCCAGTTTTGCCTGGGGGTGGACCTGTGTTTGGATGCCAACCAGTCCCCCTGTGCTGGGGACCCGAGCTGGCTCCTCCAGCATCATAGCCAGCAGAACAAACATCATCATAAATCTTTACCTGGGGGTGGTTCACCCACTTAAAATGGGAGATTTGAAGCCCCCACGCCACAGGGACAACCCACGTGCCCCAGCAAGTCACCTTCCCCTCTTCTCTGTATTTAATTTTCTGATTGTCTTAAAGCAGGTGTTCAGTGGGTTGAAGGAGAAAGGGTGGTGGCACCCAGTGTAACTCCTGCAGTGGAGTGGGTTTGCGGCAGCGGGACCCTGGTGTTCAGGGCAGCATCACCCATCAACCCCCTGCAGTGGGCATTGGGTGAGGGGCTCCCCGCAGGTAGGGTGATGGAGCAGAAAACTTCCGCTTGTCCGAAGTAACACTGGGTCAAGGACAAGGATTAACATTTTCCCAAGCTATTTGCCTCAGTCAGTGGAAGATAAAATGCTGGTCCCTTCTGAGTCACAAAAATCCCTGTGCTGATTTGATGAAAGGGGACGTCAGGAAGAGGAGATGCCCCAGCTCAGTCCCTGCGGGGCTCGCCTCTGACATCAGCACGAAACCAGCCATAAAAGCAGCGACCAGAGGGGACTCCGGCTCAGACGGTGGCCAGTCGGCTCAGCAGGACGGCAGCCAGGCGCCTCGCCACACCACGGTAAGTGCAGCCCCAGTGAGGGGGAGCGTCGCTTTTCTCTTCCTCGTGTGATGCTTTTGTTGCTGGATAATTTCCCGAGCACTGCTTGGCTTCTGTCTGTGTGCCCTTGCATCTGTCCAGCCAGCTGGGAGTTTTCCAAAAGGGGGTTGTAAAAAGTCGTCGGCTGCAGAAAACCTGAACTCTCAGGAGCCCATGCTGGCCCCTGCCTGGCATGCTGCAAGCTTCTCCTTTGCAAAAGTCCCTGGAAATAAAGCTGCCACCGCGTTCCTGCCGTGTCCTGTGTAACCCAGCTCTCCTGCTTCTGCCCCCTGCCCTGCTCCTTCATTGCAGGTGGCTGCAGAAATCAAGCCTATTGCTCAGCCTGCTCTGCACAGTCCTGCTCATTGCCTCGGTGACATGAAGCATGTTAAAGGGTGCTGCTGGGTTATTATTTTGGCACCCGAGTACAGGGCTGGGCTCCAAGAGTACAGAGGTGGCCACGGTCCATCCATCACCTAGTATCCAGCAGCAAAACCCACTTGTGCCTCTGCAGCTTTTGCTTGGTGCTACCAGCCCTGCATTTTGCTGGTGGTCCCTCTCCCCATCTCCTGGGCTGTGGGGTCCCACGGGTGCACTAGGGGTCCTGGAGAGAAAAAAGCGATGCCAGGCCTGGCCTAAGGCACTAGGCTAGAACAAAAATCTGTTTTAACAAACATGAGATTTGTATACCTCATGTTTGCAGGGGATAGTTTCCCCAGAGTTATCAGCCCTAGCAAAACCCCTGGGTTTTGATTAAGCTGCCCCAATTGTTTGCATCATGAGCGTGTAGCCCAAGCAGGGTGTCTCTGCGACAGCCAAACCCCTTTGCTCCCACAGCTGCGTCACAAGCCGCCATCTCTGTGGCACCAGCAGGAAGCACCAGGGGCCAGGAGGCTTCAGGGCCAAGCTACCGTGGAGAGAGAGCGCCGGGGATGAAGCTGGGGGCCGCCTGCCTCCTGTGCCTGCTGCTCACCTGCCCGACCCTGCCAGTCACCCACGGCCGTATCTGTGAGCGCTCCATGGAAATCAGGAGTAAGGAGAGCAGGAGTAAGGGACTCCTCCCATCCAACCCCCTGCCTCCAGTCCCCTCTGTATCCCCAGAGTCAGCTGCATTTGGGGGGTGAGGGAGGGTTGGGTCACTATGCAGAAGCAAAGATTTGCTTTGAAAGAGCCTTTGCAACAGCTTTTGTCCTATTCAACCCCCTTTCCCGCTCCCCTGGTGTTCGTCATTCCCCCCCCACCCATGGGTGCAATGCCCTGTCCCCTCTCCATGTCCCCCCCATCATCTCCTGATGGTTCCTCAACTTTTGCCTTGCAGACCCAGACATCGACCCCTCCTGGTACACGGGGCGTGGGATCAGGCCAGTAGGGCGGTTCGGGAGGCGGCAAGCCCTGGGCGAGGGTACCCATCCCAGGGGGGGCGTCCGGCGGCAAGCCTGCGCTCCCCCCTGCCTGCACCCCCCACCCCCCCAGGAGGAGCGGAGCCTCTGAGCTGAAGCCAAAAATAAAAGCCCTTCTCCTCTCATCCCCGTGTCCCAGCCTCTCTGCTCCGAAACGCAATGTGGGAGAGTGCAGGAGGGTGTGGGGTGGGGGCTTTGACCTCAAAAATTGCTGGTCTCACAATGGTTTTGCAGCCTGCCCTGATGATGCATGCAGTGTGGCAGCGCTTCCCTTTCTGCACGACACGGCATGCTTATCTCCCCTCAAAAAAACACCCTAAAAATAAGTCCCAGAGGGCCCCCTTTCCCAGGTCCCCATCCCCTGGGGTCCCCACAGCATGCCAGCACCCATGGGTGCCCCTGACACCTTAATTTCCATGGTGTTGGACTCAGAAACAGCTAAACCATTGCCATGGCCTGGGTCAGAAATGCTCGGAGGAGCACACAGGCCCTGTTCATCATGCTGTATGTCCCCAAATATCCCCTCACAAGTTGTGTCCCCAGGCTAGACCATTTTACTCCCTCTCCAGTTCGGAGGGAAGAGGGGCCACAGAGAAGGGTGACTTTCAGGATCCCTGCCTGTGGCTTCTGGCCTAGCATTGAGGGTCTAGGGCTGTTTGGGGAGGGAAGGGTTAAGCTTAGGAGGGATCGTGCAGGTGGGGGGACGAGTGGCAATTAGCACCCTATGTCTCCCAGCTACCCTAACCAAGCAGATTTAGGCAAGAGGTGGCAGCAAATCTGCCTTCTTGCTGGGAAGAAGCCCCGTCCTGCTCTAGAATGGCTCAGCCCTGGGGAAGCATCACAGGTGGGTGTCCCCAGCTGGTGCGGGGTGCTGGGGCGGCCCTCAGGGGGGGAGCTGACCTGACAAACCTGGGCAAGGGGTGCTGCAGTCCCCTCCTCTCCGTGGTGAACATCTTTGAGGGTGTCTGCTGCCTTGTGGCCAAGCTTGGCCCAGCCAAGCCTCACCCCGTGGCCTGGCATTGCTGTCGGGGCACACCCCAAAACCTCAGTGGTTACACTGCCATGTAGACAGGGTGAGCGGTGCTGCTCTTTGCCCGTGGCCATGCCAGCATTGCTGTAGCTCTCCCAGAAACTGCAACATATTCCCTGAGCCTTTTCCCCAGGTTTGCTGGGCACTAGCATGCTTTTGGAGAGAGACTGGGTGCTTTTTTCTCTCCTTTTCCAGCCAAGGCACGTTCCTGCAGTGTAAGTTATAATGCAAGGAACGGGCTACCATGATGCCCAGCATTTACTTTGGCCCTTCTCTGATACCAGACCTGGCTCTCATATCAGCAAGAAATCAGTGATTTCTCCAGAGGATGGGCTGTGACCCCTGTCATGGGCCAGGTGAGGGCTGGCGGAGTGAGGGGAGCACTGACTCTGGTCCCTGTCACCTCCAAGCTTCCTGTGGTCCCCACCTGCAGGCTGACATCCAGGTCAGGAGAAAAAAAAAAAAAATAACACCTTTAGGGCAATATTCTCTTTACTTGCAGTTTGGGTGTAAAGCCACCAGGATGCACCTGTTTCACTCCAGAAAGTTAAACCCTCCCTTTTCAGATGGGAAGGGACACGGAGGAGGGGACATGTAGCTGGGGCGGGGGGGATGTCACCAGTCAGGGCCAGTGGCAATGGTGCTGGTGGGTCACGTTCCTCTCTGGAAGTGGAAAGCTGGTGGAAAAATCCTTGTGCTTCATCTCTTGCATGAAGCCAGTGCTGAGGGTTGAAGAGGCCCTGTATCCCCAGGATGGGCTCTGACCTCGCTCTGAGGGGGAGGGTGGCCAGCCTGAGCTGCCCCTGCGCTTCTGTGTCCCCCCCGCTTTGTCATTGCTCTTCTTTTAGACCTCATCCAGGCATGGCTGAGGTCCAGAGCTGCCTGTCCTCAGAGCTAGCAGCACCCCATCTTTGCCCCACTCTCCCCCAAGTGAACTGTTGACCTCCCATGTGCAGACAGGGCAGATGCCTTCTCTTGTTCCCGCTGCAGGAGCTCTTGAGCTAGGAAGAAACACAAGGTGAGAAAGGGCTCGTTTCTCTTGCCACGGGGGTGGGATGCAATGGCTGTACTGTCCCACCTCAGGTGAGCCACTGGTGGCAGCTGGTATCATCCCATGGTAACTGTGTTATATCTCTACTGAAGAGCTACGCTGCGGGCACCATTCTGCCTGCATTGGATACTAAAGCAAAAGAAAATTGTGGCTTTGGGAAAGGGCCTGAAATACATTTCTGATGCTGGAGCATCTTGGGGTGGGTCCATCCATCATTCTGCCCCAAGAGGTGTGGCACAGAAATCATGGACTGCTGTGAATGTGTCCCTTGTAGCTGCCAGGGGCAGCACAGGCTGTACCAGCAGGGAAGAAGATCTCCATGGCGAGCATGAGCAAAGAAGGGGGTCAGCTTTGCAGGGAGGAAGGGTTCATAGCCTGGAAGCTGAAGTTTGGGGCCTGCAGTTCACCTGCCTCTACTCTCACTTAGAGCCATCACACAACTCACCTACAGCCATAAAGGTATCGTTTACTTGGTGGTTGGATTTTGCAGATGTCTCCATGAACAGGAGGCCTTTGGTCCTTGCAAACTCTTCTCCCTCCTAGGTGGAGACAAGCAGAGTTATTCCCCCAGCCCTTCTCTGCTTGTTCAGTTGGGTGGAATTTTGTGGCAGGACAGTAACTGTACAGGGACTTTGGAAGTGTCTGAAAGCCTTTCAAACTCTTGCCTTTGTTAGGATATATCTAAGTGCTTGCTGGTGAGGGGGTGATGAGGGGGCCTGGGATCTTACCACAGACGCTCACCTCAGTGGTGACTTCTCGCTCAGCAGCAAGGTCCATCTTGTTGCCCACCAAAGCAATGACGATTTCATCAGGAAGGAATTCCTTCTCCAGGTCCCTCAGCCACAGCTTTGCTCTTTTGAGTGTTTCCTGGAGAGATGGAGACAAAACCTGCCAGTGATCTGGTTTTGATTTAATCCCTTTGTCTTGGGCATAGCGAAGCTGGACAGGCAGCACCAAATCAAAGGGGGTGGAAGAGATGTGGTGGGGAGGCCTTGATTGCCCTCTCTCAGGGAAACAGGTCACCTCCCTGCAAACACCCTTAGGGATAAATCAGCCTTGGATGGGATGCACCTTTCTGCATGGCAGCAGAAATCTCTCCTGGGGTGGTGGTGTGCCCCTGCATGGGCAGGGAGAGCCCCTGGCACATTCCAGGTGGGATGTTCATCTTCTCGGGCAGTGCATGTGTACTGCTTTCTGCTCTACCAAGGACAAATACCATCACCTGGACACCTCTGCCCTGCCAGTGCTGCAGCAGCACGGCATAGTTTCAGCACAGATAAGATCAGCATCCCTTGCCTTACCTTATTAGCGATGTCGTAAACGAGAAGAGCAGCGTGGGCACCCCGGTAGTAGAGGTGGCAGACACTGTGGTACTTCTCTTGGCCTGCTGTGTCCCAGATCTCAAATTTGATAGTGGCTATCTCCAGGTTAAGCGTCTGTGTGAAGAAGGAGCCTGCAAGAAAGGTATGCTCGTTCCCTTGCAGCAAGAGAAAAGAGCTCAGATCTGCTGCCATGAGGCCAAACCAATCCCGAGGGCTGGTAACAATGCTCTAATGCACAGAATTGGGATGGGTTTCTCCTAAGAACTGGCACCATTGTTGGGATGGCATGCCACAAGGCAGGGCAGCCTGTGGCAGGCTGGGAGCCCTTCCTGGCAGCAGATTTGGGTAGATGCAAACCAGTTTTGATGTTGGATAGCTCTGAGATTTACAGAATAGCCCCTAGATAGTGAGCCACCTCCACCTTGCTGGTGGATCAGACCTGTGAGAGCTGTGAATAGGAATATCCACTGAAAAGGAATCCCAGTGGAGGGAAGCCTCCATCCCTGCTCCCAGGGAGCAGAGGGTTGCTTGTGGACCAGCCAGAGACACAGCAGAGGAACAAGGGGAGCAGCTCTGCAGCACCTTGCTCTCTTCCACCAGCTAGCTCTTCAGGCTCCAGGTGGGACCACAACCTCTGTGCATGCTGTGCCTTCTTAGGGCAAAACCCAGGTATATCACGTAAAATGAACACCTGTGATGTCCAGGTGCTGTAGGAAGCTGCGCTGATGCGAATGTACAGAGGAGGCAGCTTGATCCCAGCAGGTATGTTGGTTCGAGGGAGGTTATAGAGGGAGCAGGGCTCTCGCAGCTCTCCAGATGGCTTTCATCAAAGCATGAGCATGCACATGTCCTGCCTTTGCATGTGTGCTGTTCAGCATGGCTTGTCAGAACAGGACATGCAGGGGCAGATGTTCTCCCCATTGCCAGTGGGGCAAAGCATGAGGTTTGGGAGTGGGGAGGTCTGTGCTCTCGTCTCTGCAGGCAGGCTGGAGGAATGAGGCACTGCTGTGAGTTCATCATTGCGCAGTGATGGGGTGTCCTGCCATAGCTGGCCACCACCTCCTAGGCTGTCCTGCCAACCTGCACCCCAGCCAGAACTCCCTTGCTGCAGCTGGACATGGAGGCTGGGGCAGCACACATGCAGGAGAGACTCTTCTGGGGTGTCTGAATAGCTGTGAGGGCAGCACAGAACCAAGCATGCATAGGGCAGATGGACTGTACAGTTTGGACTCCAAGTTTCACTCATTTCACTGCTCATCTGCCTCCAAAAAGCAGCACTAAACCAAACCTATGCAATTTCTATGTGGCTTTGCTTACAGCCTGGTGCTGAGGAAAATGGGCTGCAGAGATCTGAAGATGACAGCGGTGGGGGAGATCTCATTCTGGGGCAAGTCCGTATCGTGTTCAAAAGTGGGTCTGTGAAGGATACACCAACCTGTTCTCCTGCATCCCACCCCGCTGCAAGGAAGGGCATCAGGCCTGGTCTCTTGTCCAGAGCCATCAAGCTATTGAAGCCACTCACTCACATCCCACGGTTGGCAGTGACTCCTTGAAGTCATTTTTCACGTATCGGTAGGCCAGGCTTGACTTTCCCACTGATGTGCTCCCCAGCAGAACTATCTTGTAGATGTAGGCAGGACGAATCCCCTCCAGGGAGGTGCCTGGCATTGCTTTCTGTGCCGTGCCCTGCAGAGAAACCAACTCCATAAAACACCTCTGCGGTGAACCCAGGTCCATCAGCTGAGCCACCTGCACCAACTCCTGACTAGTGGCAGTGGGGGTTTAACCTCAAAGTAGCCTAGAACAAAACTCTTAATATCCCGAATCGAATTTAATACACCAAATCCTCTGCCACTGTCAGTTATGACCAGAGGGTGGCTATCTCTATGAAGAAACTTGATGCAAGAGCATGTTTTGGATGTAGACAAGGAGATTGGATCAGGTGCATCTCCTTTAAAGGGAGGACAGGCTGGAGAAAATTAAAGGTAGAGAGACATCGCTTATGGCTGTACCTTGCTCTTGATATCTTCCCAAAGTCCTGGTGAACAGCTTAGGCTGATGTTCCGCGCTTATTATAGGTCTTGGTTAGAAGTTATGCCTGGAGAGCCTAACTCAGGTTGGAGGTGAACTCACGCATGGAGATGATGGTGCTACCAGCTTGTTAAGGACACTGCCCAGGGGATGGCTGGGCACTTCAAGAGCTGATGGGCTTTGTAGCAGCAACACTTCAAGTCAGCGTGTTGCTCACCAGAGTGAAAACGCAGGAGTGAGAGGACCTGACTCAAGCATCCTTGAGGATAGCAGCCCACAAAGCAGATGGCACGTGCTCCTCCACAGTGGATTAAGAAACCCTGGGCAGTCCTGGCCCATGAAGTCTCATGCCCTCATGACCACTGCACCACAGCATATGACTCTGCATCGCTTGGGGTGGAGCCACACTGCTCAATGACCTGGGACAGCAGGGAGCATGGCCTGAAATAACGGTGGCCGCATCAAACTTGACTCAAAGAAAGCCGCTGCAGACAATTGGTCGTGCCCTGGGAAGAGGATAGTTGTCGTGAGTCCTCCTGGGTGGCACTGTTCCCCTTCTCCCAGCCTTGAGCTCAAGGAATTTATACTGCCTTGCTGTCAGCGGGAGCTGTCAGCGAAGGGCAGTGAATAACACTGTCCTGCAGCTAGCCAAAGCTTTGCCCTGGCTCCTCCTTGCAGAGCTCCTCCTCCAAAATCACTCAGCTCATGGGGAGAGCTATGTAGGAGAGTGGTAGATTCATGCAGAGCTTGAGGATGAAGGGTCATGGGGTGTTGAACTGAGCCAGAGAAAGGCATGACATGACCTTGAATGCACTTATCCCACCTCACATGCAGCAGCAATGTGGAAATATGTCATGAGCAAGCCTGTAACTGCTGTGTGCAGAGATGGGTTGTGCCTCCTACATAGATCTGATCTTCTAAAACACTCAAAGGCAGCAGAGGAACCTTGTGAAGGATGCCAAAACGTTAGTGTCCTGCTGCTGCACCCTGCCTGTGTGTTCTGACCCTCTTGCTGCTATTGCATGCCAGAAGAAGAGCCTCTCATGCTGGGGCAAACACTGCTGGTGTGGGGTGTTTCCCTCCACGTGCTTTTGAAGAAAGCCCTGGTCAGCCAGTTGCCAGGGACCTGCAAGAATTATAACAAAGATTTAGTGCAATTACTGCAATTTTTACCTGGGGCTTGCAGGAGTTTGATGTGCAGAACTTGCAGGTAAGTAAGAATGACCTTTATAAAGACTTAAAGGTAGCTCCCAGCCCAGGAAGGTCTCTGTGGCTCCCTTGCCTGGCAAAAGCTTCTTTTTCCTGCTCACCGCTCGTCCCACGTGTCTCCTTAATTTTGCCTGTCTTCCCCCTGCAATCTGGCAAGCTCCAGATCTTTAATTCTTCTCCCTTCCCTGAGCTTTTATCAAAACAGGCTCTTCTTAAGAGCATTCCTCGGTGCTGGCTAAACCCAGGTCTGTATCTTTAGGTGTGGGTGGTTTTTCTGCTCAGTGACATGGGCTTTCATCCCCTTAAAAATCAAAGTTAAAATCTACACCAGCTTGTACAGCCAAGTGATGAAGAGCAGTGAGATTGCAGTTTGTGCAGAACAGCTAGTTAGGAGTGGGTTGTGTTTATTTTTAAGCAGGAAAAAGATAAATGCTGCAGCACAGTAGAAGGGTGGTCCTTCTGGTATTAATTACATAGATCTGCCTCTTTGTAGGCCTGGAAACAAGACTGCTACCCTTTCTGGGCAGTTATGTTAGCTACCATAGGTGATAAGCCATACAAGTCTACAGGGAAGCAAGAAACTGCATGAAAAACACCCAAGATAGTCTTTCTTTAGACGCAGTTTCTTGTTATTTCACTCTGCTGCTCTGTTTAACCATACAAGATTGCACTGACACTGGAACAAAGCTTCTCTAAGAACTAGTGCCATTGACGGAAATTTCCTTGCAAACTTTTCATGCTAGCAAACACCTGTTAGAGATGGAGAGTTTTGCCAAAGCTCATTTGAAACAATTTCTGTTCCATGTTAAGCAGCAGAAGGTGAGCCTCAACCTGAGGAGAACAGCAAGGAAGCAAAACAAGTGGCTTTATTTTGATTCAATGGAAAATAGGATTTAGGGGAAACAATTTTCTTTATCCTTTTTCAGTTGAAAAAAGGGTGCACAGAGTAAAACCCTGTACTCAATGGCTAAGAGACTATGGAAAAATCCCTCCAGACATCTCATGTGCCTGGTAGTCATCCTTCTGTGGCTGCTCTCTGCCTTGGGGCAGAGCCTGTTGGCGAGACCCAGCTTAGGGTTACAGCCAGCTCTGCAAATCCAGGATGCTGCTCCAGCAGGGTCACAGATCCCTGTTCTGCATACAGATAATGGTGCTGCTGCCTCGCAGCAAGCAGCATCCCTGTTCTTTCAGCCTGTGCTGCCAATGAAGCAGATGAAGAATGAGCTCCCTGAAACCTCCCTGACTTCCCTGGGCTGACTGAGCACATCCAGCAGAAACATTTAAAGCAACGTTCCTGCTGGTTTCTGTGAGTTAAGCCCCAACAGAGTGCACCTCCATGCCAGAAAGCTTCTGTTGGCGTCACTAGAATAAATTTGATTTATCTCATGGCAAACTCAAAACTCTGAAGAAGTCACCAATGCTTCCATGCAAAATGGGTTTAGCAAATTTTTCACAGAGGCTTTCAAAGGCTGAGGTGTAACCTGGACTGGGACTGCTTAGATGCTGGATTTTGGGGCTTTTTAATTTGATCCTGGTATAACTTGGCAATTTAGGGAGCAGCCTGGGAAACAGCTGAGGTGTTAAAAGTCCTGTCCTCGTGCCTAGAGGCCGCATTGAGGGAAAGCTGAACCTCAGATTCAATATAAAGGGCCAGAGATTAGTCTAGAAAAGCATTTCTCTTCAATCAACTGCAAATATCCTGCTGGTGGATTTAGTCTCCAGATACAGCTTAATATTTTGTGACAGCTACGTCTAGCAGCAGGTATTCGGGGCAGGCTTTCTTGATCTTACTTACCTAGAAGGTGAGTACTGAAACGGCTGCGACGCAGATCATTTCTCACTTCCTAATGGAGGATTAAGCATTGCTGCACCCAGGAAATTGTGTTCTCGGCCAGTCACTCCCGTTCCCCTGTCTTGATGTCTCCTCTCTCCTTCTTGTGGGTAATGGGTGGCGGCAGCTCCGACCAGGGTTAACCAGCTTCCCCTATGGAGCCCACTGGTTTAACGTAAATTAACTTAAAGGTACTTTGTTTGCTGGGTGCGGCAGCAGCACCAGATCAGCGATACTGCACTTGAACTGCCTGCCCTCACTGATTCCAAGAAGGAACCTGACAAATCTGTTTGAGGGTGACTCAGTTGTTTATAATTAGCAGGAAAGTGGACTTTATCTAAGGAGCATCCTTTCAAACTCATATTATACAGGCATTAACACTAGTAATAAAAAAATGGAAATGTGAGGTGGCAGAGTAGATATTTGCACTGGAATGCAGCAGCGAGGGCTTGGCTTTCGCCACTCAATAAATTAGTATCTCTGCAGTGTTTTTAACCTGGAGAGGTGGGATCTTGGTATATCTATTGTCAGTGGATAAGCCTTTTATTTCCAAAGGAAAACGATAAAAAAAGAAAAGAAATGCATACTTTGGGGATGGAGCTACTGAGAAGTGTTAGTTAAGACTCTCTTTAACTTCCTGGGAAATTAATGATGTTTAAGTCTAATGATGTCTGTCTGATGTCTAACCTTTTCTAAACCACAAGCTCTAAGAAGATCCTAAAACCATTAAAGACATTTGCTGAGTTTCTGCAAGGGTGCAGCAGTGAGCAAGCACCACAGTTAATGAACTCCTCAGAAAAACCAGGACCCCAGCGCTACCCATGTAAGTCTACAGTATCAAGCCCTGCAATTTTTGGACACAAAGTTTTTAGGTTCTTTCAGATCTAGATTTCCCTCCCCACACCCCTGC